GTATTGAATTTCTCCAGCTGCAGTAGCCTCTACACACACACACACACACACACACACACACACACACACAGAGTACAATGTATATATTCATTTCAAAATCCAAATTTTATTTTAATTTTTTTTCAGTTTTAAATTAGATTCTGAATCCCCAGATCTTCAATGTGGTCTGAGACTTTTGGACCCTGCTGTAAACAGATTACATGTCTTAAAATATAAGCGAGCGAGTGAGTTGGATTAACCTGGGCCACTTTGATGAATTCACTGATGACAGTGGCTCTCTGCTGAGCTGTAGGCTTACTGAGAACCATGATCTGGATCCACTGGGAAACACTGTTAAACAGAGTAATGAAACGCTCCAGAATGGGATTATCCACCGTGCAGCCGTGCATCACGAAACTGTGGTAGTCCTGGAACTGAGGGGGAACGGATTTTTCATTTGCAATATGAACTCAGACTCGAGGTCATGCTATTATGAGCACAAAGACACGACTAAATACTGCATCTATAAATTAAGAGACTTACCAGAATTTTGCAAAATGATTTGTACTCCATATACGTTAGGTGTTCAGCCAGGGTGGACGCATCCAGGTGGTCAAAAAGAAGAGAGGTCTTGCGTTTTTTCTGGACAGTTTCATCCAGTTGACGTCGCCATTCGTAAGATGGACTACAGGCAAAACAAACAAAACATTGTATTTCTGTTCCTTGTCCCGTATGCCTAAATATTATTAAGTACGCAACTTTTTCTATTATATTGGATTATATTAACAGGTCAGTGACATGACACTCTAGATCTATTAATATATATATATATATACACACACACACACATACATACATATTTGAAAAACTGTGTTTTTCTGTTCTTTGTCAAATCAAATCAAAGTTAGTGTGTTGTAACCAACATCCAACATAGAAAACCCTTTTAATATCACCATGAAATAAGAAATAACTTAAAAAGTTGAAGTAGAATTTTTCATGAAAAGAGTTATTTTATATAGGTTTATTTAACCCCCCACATTCTCCAGCCCTCTGTATCAAAGGAGCAGCGGTTTGGGTGAGTTCTGTGCCCCTGTGACTCACATGCTGTCTATGTCGATGAGCAGACTTCGCCTCACATCTCCATTCTGCTCCAGTCGCTCTTTCAGACCGCGGATCTGCTCAGCCAGAGCGGGGTTCAGGTCAAACTCAGCTGGGAACTCAGATATCCAGTACCTGACAGAGAAAGGGAGACGGAAGACAGAGAGAGCTATGACACTGAGTAGCTGTGCATGAAATAGGTCTAGGCAAGACATCAGTAGGACGAGTATTTTCGGTGAATAGTCTTGCCTCAACTGCTTTATGTGAATTCACAATACACCTCTATGATACAACCCAGCTGCCTTATGTCAAAAAGCATCCACATCTTTACAAGAAATATGCACTGCACGGCCAGATAGTATGTGGACTTCAAAATGCATGCATTTTACATTAATAGGGAGTTCTCCTTAAGGAGGCGTTCACACATAACACGTTTTTGCTGCTTTTCCAGTTTTTTTATGTTAACACGCACTAGAAGGACGTCTTTGAACACTCCGCTTACATATAACGTCTTCTGCAGCGTCTCACTTTGACACTGCAATCTAAAAACGTGCCACTGAAGTCTCAATACCGTGCATTTTTTTCCATTCCACTGCCCTGCATCTCGCATTTTTAAACGCAAAAACGTGTTCTGTGTGAATGGCCCCTAAGGAAATTTGCAAGCTGTGAATGTCAATATAAATGATTGGGCGAACACAGCATGCAGCGTGTTTAAATAATGGTTTTGGACCATTAAATGGCCTTCTTCTTCTAGTTAACGTTTTCTGTCACACATGTTCTCTTAAATGTTTTAACAAATTACAGCACTTACATTTTTTTTGACTCCACTGTCCATGAACATTTCTTGAGGCAAAAGCTATTCGGTTTATGGGTTGTTTGTGCACTCATATTACCACATATAGGTTAAAGTGCAACTTGCAATATGGCAAAATAAGTCCTGCATTCTAAATAGAACATCCAATAGCCAATTGGTAAGGTTATCGGATCACTGCTGTTAGAAGTTCAATTTGCTATAGAAACAGTTAGAAACTTAGGACTGCACATGTGCATTGGCTGGTCCAGCCCGAAATAAAAGCTTTTTTATATGCAACATTTATGAGAAAGTTCATGTTAGATTTTGTTGTTGATTTGAAATATTTTATTTAAAGAAATAGTTCATCCATGTTGGTAACCAAACAGCTGACAGTAGCCATTGACAAAAAAACACTATGTCAATGGCTACCGTCAACATTTGGTTACTAACATTCTTCCAAATATCTTCTTTTGTGTTCAACCCCAGCAGGCACACAACGTCATAAGACGTTGATATTTGGTTAAATTTCGGTTGCAACGTTGGGTGACCAAAATTCAACGTCAATTCAACATCTAATGTCAATTTGATGTCCAATACCGACGTCAGCTGACATTGATATTTGTTGTTTTTAGGTTGTGTAACCAAAATCCATCATTACGTCAAAGTGAATTTGGTATCCGATTTTCATTCTCAACCAAAATGCAAAGTATGTATTTTTGGGTAAACTGTCCCTTTAAATGTAAGCGTGGCAAGCAGTTTTTGAGATTTCAGGATTTCCCCATTCGGGTAGATAGGACTTGGTCTTGGATGCCTAAAATAGGCTTTGAAAGGGACTTTGGTCTAATCTAACACCTCATCGTTTCATACTGAGTTTCGTAACACAGGGTTAAAAGCAGCGCTAACCCCCTTGTGAAACATTGCTTTTAAAGCAGGGTTTAAAAATATGATAACCCAGGCATGAAAAAGCCCATTTAAAGCCCTTTGGAGGGGTATTGTGATACTGAAAGAGAAAAGGCAGGTGCCACTCTTATTATAAAGCTTTGAATATGATTTACGGCTGTATTCTGTACTTGATTTCATGCACCTGTTACTAATGGGTTTATCTGAAACAGCCGAACCTTGGATGTCTTCAAGCTTTTAGCCATGTAGTATATGTATAGTTATTATAAAAAATAAATAAATAGGTGAACAAATGGCTTTTTAACCTACTTGACAAGGTGACAAATCTGAGACTGGCGAATTGCAGAACAATCCTGTTCCTGAGACCTGTAATACTGTCAAGGTAGCTCACTTCATTACTATTATCGGCTGTTAGGAGAGTGATGGAAACAGTTTGTGATGCAGTCAGCCCTCTCTATAAATGACAAACCCCACCCATGACCGCATGTACTAAGTGCTAAATGTCTAGCAAAAAAGCCGGCCTGTCACCTCTGAAACTAAATGTACAAAGACTTGTATTTCTTTTCAGGTATTTGACATTAATGCTAGTTTTTCGAAATACAGAGTCCTGAGAAAGTCTAATGTGACAGGTCTGCTGAAGGAGGATACTTGTGCAGGAGTTTCTTAGCTAGGTCACTGGATGACAGGTACCAGGGATGCATGGTAAGAAAGATTCGCACGAGAGATGGCTCGTTCAGAACGCCTTCATTGTCTGCGAAGAAGATAGAAAACCAGACATTTGCACATTAATTACCATGAATCTATTAGCCTATGACTTTCATTTAATACTCAGTTTGAAAATGTATATATATATATATATATATATATATATATATTTATTAGTGCTGTCAAAAGATTAATCGCAATTAATTGCATCCAAAATAATTTTTAGTTTATATAATATGTGTGTACTGTGTATATTTATTATGTATATATAAATATATACACATATACAGTATATATTTTGATGCTTTTACATGTATATATTTATATCTATATAATTTATATTATATATAAATATATTTAATACATTTACATTTATATTTAGTCATTTAGCAGATGCTTTTATCCAATGAGTAAGTAATGACTCAACAAAAGAGCAATGCTATGCAAGTGCTATAACAAGTCTCAGTTAGCTTAACGCAGTACACATAGCCAGGTTTTTTTAACTAGATATTTTCTATTTTTTGGACCATTTTCTGTAAACCCTAGAGATGGTTAGTTAGAGGGTCAAATAAAGATGGAAGAGATGTGTTTTTAGAAGATGATTCTTGAAGATGGTGATATATAAACATAACATATTTTTCTGAAATATATACACATGCATGTGTGTGTTTTTATATATACATAATAAATATACAGTACACAGTACACACACATATATTATGTAAACAAAAACTTTTATTTTGGATGCGATTAATCATTAAGTTAACTTCAACCAACGAGTCCAAAGCTAAAGTTCAGCTAAAAAATATCTTTGTCTTTCCCACGTTAAAATGTATCAAGTAAAATGTAATAATGAATCATTTAATGGCTTTGCAATGAAAGCATATTATGTAAAACACATTTATTTTTTACTAAATGCACATTATTATAAGTCAGGCCTAAAATACAAAATTTTATAGTAACAGTGCTTCATTTCTCTATCCACCAGGGCGTCGAATTGGCTTGAAAAAAACTGAAGACGCCTGAGCTAGAGAAATTAACATGAGAAACACTGAAGAGGTTTGAAGAATGTCAAGAAACAGACACAAATGCATACAGTTGAACAAGCCAGTGTTGTTCCGACTGGCTGATCAGAGGGTTTACACAAGAGAAGGAGGAAGCAAATATGACCACTGACCAAAGGCTTTGATGCAGGCTTCCACCAGCTCATCCACGCTGGCTGACTGATCCAATGAAACGCTCTCCATCCCTTTCTACTTCACTGTTCTCCACAGCCCCTCCTTCTCCCCCCCCACTTAATTTTCCACTCCTCTCTTTGATCCCTCTCTTTTTCAGTCTGAAAACGAGACAACGCCATGCGCGGCAAAGGAAACAGAATCAATAAAGCAGAGAATGGTTCAGATGTGAGAGGTGTCGCTGGTTTTTCATTTTCATCAAAAGCAGACAAATCCTGGTCACACATGGATAATACGGTGGACAAGACTCATGCGGCGAAAAACAAGGTGCATAAAAGAAAAGAAAAAAAAATCAAAGATCCATAGGAACTGTTTTCAGACAACAGTAGAAGAAAAAATAAGCCTTAGAAAGATTTTCAAAGGAACTTACCCGTTGAATCCGGCATCAATGGTCAAACAGTGATCATCTTTGAAAATAGAAGTGCTAATGAACGCTGGGCTTCAGTGGAGCCTCTCTACCCATGTACTGAAAACCACAGAGGGCCTCACTGGGGTTCACTCTGAGTACAGCTGCCTGTAGACTCAGTTTCCTGTCAGTTGAGAAATTTACAGCTGTTGCATTTCCTGTTCATAATGTTTCGAGACTTTTTTGTCACATTCACAACAAAAAGGGGTGGAGGACAACGGGTGAGAAAAAAATGTAAAGAGAAAAAAATGTAGTTACAACTAAATTCTTAATACATTTTTGTATTGGTTCCAGTAAAAATATCCAAATGTCTAAAAATATCTAAAGACAAACTTAGGTGAGAACCAAAACTGTATAAGATACGAAGTCATGTTTCAGAGAACATATCTTGATTTATTTTTCTTCCTGTTGCAGAGTGTTTCCTCACTGGCAAATAGTTTTTAATAAGTTTTATGCTTGAAACAAGAAATATAAAATATTATCAAAAAATACACACACACGTGTATAAATATGTTATTTTAAAACAAATGATCATAGCTTATGAAATTTTGCTTCTAAAGTAAATGTAACTTTCATTTTATAAATAAGAAACAAGAAATACTGTATATATTATCTATCTATCTATCTATCTATCTATCTATCTATCTATCTATCTATCTATAATAGAAACTTATTTAATAATTGATTAAAACATTCTAGTTTATGCAATTTTGCTTCATTTAATGATAACTCTGCATGTGACTTTGTTTGCTTTAATGGTAAATCAGAGCATCACAGAACTGTGCTTATAAAGCATGGACACAAAAGTGTCCAGTGTGTCCACAATCCTCACTGCTTATGGGATTACATTTGTGTCAATTAAAATGAATGTAATTTTTCAAGAAACTTAAGAAAATATAAATTGAAACTGAATAAAATGTCTTTGAAACTGAAAAAAAAATTAATGCAGGCAAAATCTTTGACTTCGTTTTTAATACACTGCATGTTTTCCCTTCTTTCATTCGCTGATCTGTACTTACAAATGCGCTTCCGCAGTTTTCATTTATGCTTCTAAAGTTGTCATTTACGCTTCTAAAGTTTTAGTTTACGTTTCTAAAGTTTTCCTTCGCCATTCTGACACAAATCTCTCGTGGGGGTGGGGCTAGCAGCAGTGTGTTCTCATTGGCTACTGAGTTTTTGATTGACAGCTTCTTGACCTAGAAAAGAGAAGGCGTCAATATTGCCTTGCCAGTGTGGATGTGAGCATCTCTTAGCAGCTTCCAATTTCATTTTAGTGATATAAAGTTAGGGGTTTTGTTTTTGAATTCAATCTGTATTTATCTGTTGCTACTACTCGGTCAACATAAGCTTTTAGGTGCACGAGGAATCAATCGCGAGAGAAAAAGAAGGTCATATTGAGGTTTAATTATTAAAGTA